TTGGTGACGCTGCTTGCACCCTCTGCAACCTGGCTCCCACAGGCCACAGCCAGGGGTAATTTGGGCTTTGGGGTGCTGAATAGCACCTTGTCAGGCACTTTATGAATAGCATATGTAATTTTTCAGAGATGTCATGCAATAGCCCTTGCAAAAGACCTTTAAAATGAGCCCAAACAAGTTAATAAAATCTTTCTTGGTAAGAAGTTATTAACGAAAAATGAAAAAAGCATCTCCGTCTCTTATGGTCATATAGTGAAATAACAAACCCCGGGCAAGCCCCAATTGAGCAACAAGAATAATAAAAGAAGAAAAACAAAAGAAGTACAGAAAAAAGGCAAAGATTGAAAGAAGAGATGAGTAGAATAGAGAACATGATTTATTTTTGTTTATGATGAAGATAGCTACGTTTCTAAGTTTAGAGTAGACATAGGGGATACAAAATTGAGGGTTGGCATCAGATGTCCACATTGACTGTGTCTCATTCAATTCCCAACCCAGTTAGTTGCAGTAGCTATGCCCTAGACAGTGACTTACATGACCGAGTTTGTATAAATTACTGAAAGTCTAGAATTTGTTTACCTATACAGCTTCCGCTGTAAATAATACTTCCGAGAAGTTCTTACGTTCTGCCGGAAATTTTATCGGATCACGTCGGTCACATTCAATTAAATTAAGTAATTTCTGATTATTAATTTTTCCGGTATTCAATCCAATGAATAGTCATGACTAATCACGAAAATCCGACATCTGTGAAAACATGTTCACGCAGAAGCTCATTGGATCGAGTGTGAATTGAGGCGGGCGGCAAGCATATGCTGGGTAATGATGCCTTATTGCAGAATTATTTTTCAGGCTTCGGGTTTGCAGATAACAAACCTCCAGCCCTGAGCACAATTAGCTTTTTGGTTGATGCACTTCGCTTCACTTTAGGCTACCTTGCTTTTCTTTCCTTTTACATTTAAATCCAACACTTCCACCCTATGGTGCAGCAGTAGCTACCTGGTGAAAAGAAAACAGTAGAATCAAGCTCTGGACCTCATTGACAATCTGGTCACCATATTGCAGCTCAGTAAATATTGACCAAGATGACAGATGACAGCAGTACGGTTCCTCACTAGGGCGTCATCAACGCCCAGAGCTGAGTTCAGCTAGCTGAGAGGCGAGAGGCCTTCCAGTCCTGAGCGGAAATCCCTTCGTGGGTCGTTGATTGGTCACGCTTAGTGCAGTAAAGATGGCTGATTGTGACTTGAAAGTTGCATACTTGACAGACACTTGCATCAGACTTGACAGAGACTTGTTGAATCTGGCCACAATTCAGCGTTGACTGCATGCCCCCAGACGCGAACGTGACACCACGCATTCAATTAAGAGTGGAAGCGATCCATACTACACAAAGGCAAACATGGTTTCAATCTCCACCGGAAGTTTCCTTGCCTGTTTCTAGCACCTCCGCTGACCAATGGAGTGCCCATTCTTAGACAACGAAGGAATTTTTACAAAAAGGTCTACTCCTTCTACAGCTGAAATTCGTTGAATGGTTGTACGAATGTGCTATAATTGTTTTTCTGCCTGACGCCTCATTACCATGCATAACACTGTGGTCTCGTATCCAGCAAAACACCACCTTTTCAAGTCCCTTAACCAGCATCAATCAACTTTCGTATCTCACAGGCAATCTTGCTTTTTGAGCGTCCAGATGTTTTGTGAATTGAATTGAAATCTGCTCGTCTTTCAGAGATTCCTTATCAGTGGCCAGCAGCATAACCTTGTGTATGACAAACTATTCAGCCCCAAGAACAGTGTGTTCCCGTCGAAGCAACAAGCCTGTTGCCGACTCTTGCACTTACTCTTGGTTCACACCGTATATACTCCCTGCCAAGTGCCAGTCACGGTCCAGTTCAATAATCTCTAATGCATTTCTATATGAGCATTCACACCAGCCGTGCAAGGCACCTGCCATGCCAGGCGCGGTCCAGCCACGATCATAGCAAAAGAGATTTTGACCGGGACGTGACTGCAGCGTTGCCAACTTTTTTATTTGCCGGGTATACCAGATTACCAGCTCAACAAACCGGATTTCAGCATATATAGCGGATCAAAAATATCCATACCAGACAGGCAGACACCATCTCGACAAACCAGGTTTGTTAAATGGTGCCATGCCTGACTGGCATGGCACGAAATACGAAAGGAACTGAAGGGAGGACGGCCCGTACGACCGGACTGAACATGTGAATGCACCTGGACTGGAACGACCGTGACTAGCATATGCCAGGCACGTGCCTAGCAGTATGGTTTGAATCAAGCCTAAGAGTCCGGTAGCAACTGTCTCATCTGCAGACTTTGAGCCATCCGTGTAAATCTAGAAATGTTTTGGGTGGTGCTCCAGCCAAAATTAAGTAAAACAATTTTGAATAGATTGATCTCGCAAATCGTTCCAGGAATTATCTTCTAAGATTGAGATGAATACTGGAAGTAAGATCCGCTGGAGTTGAAATTGATCTTAAGAAAGGAGTAGTAGCACAGCGTGCGAGTGAAAGACCTAGCTTGCAGAGGCTTTCACGAGCTCCGATGATGAAGGTGTGTCACTATAAACTCCCCAGCCAGAGAATCTTAACATGGTTGCTACATGTTTACCTGCCAGCATGTACAGATATCAGATAACGGACTCGATGAACAAATACAAGACTCGAAGTTGCAGGGGTGCAATGAAGTTTTCAACTTTCAGATACACTTCTGTCGTGGTACGTCGGACTCCGTGAATCTACCAAAGAGCAGGTTTTAGAACAGTTCCAAGATGGCTCATTAAAGACTTCGAAATATCCCATAAAATTGTGGAGCCACACTCAATCTAGCTTCTTATTATGACGTCGTTCGTCACTTGTCTGATTAAACATACAATATTAAACATACAAATCTTTCACTCATTCCTGAGTGCACACGACAAGCGCGTAGAAAATACCGCAAAATACATCGACATATTCCTCCAAGGAATGCACGATGTCCCAAGCGGTTGCCTCGCCAGCCTCGCCCTCCCACCAGTGTGATAACAGAGCTTGTGCAGCTAGTGTAACGCGCTCGAGCTACTAACATATATTGCTTTAGAATTGCTTGCCCATTGTGTATGTGATCCCATCTTGTCAGTCACAAAGTGAGTGATTTTAGAATTGCTGATTCTAAGTTCACGTTATTGAGTTAACAATAAAGATGTTATTGTGATTAACTCTGCGCCAAGATATAGTTGCTAGCTACTTTTATCACCGTCTGCTGATGGGCTTCATGTATCATATTTCAAAATAAATTTACATAGTGACATTCATCTAGGGCAATTAGTTTGAAAGTGAATTATTTGATATACAAACTAGATGTGCCTGTTGTCTGTTTGGTGACATTAAGGTACACAAAAATACTCATGGATTATATAAGGTCCCAGAAGGATTACCAGAATTTGAAACACAAATTTTAATATTTAAAAAAAAGCTCCACAAGTATTTTCGTGGAAAGCTCTACAAATTTTGTACGTTTCCTGTTGCATGCACGGAGGCTGCGGATGCCGTTGGCTGTGAGTGAGAGCTAGCTGATGTACACTAACCGCATTATCGTGTTAACTCTCATAAAATCAACAGTTATTTTGCACTGTTCGTCTAATTTTCTACGTACGATCTACATGATCCTATTGTTTTTCAAGGTTGCTCGGTGAGACGAGCTCAAATTCCTTGGTTGACTCCTCCTTTAAACCTTATTACGAATATTTTAAATTTAAACTAGATGCCCAAATTCGCATCTAGTAAAATGGAATTTGCATCCTGCAGCCACATCACAGCCTGATAAGATTTAAAATCTATTATCAGGCGAGCTTTTATTTTATATGTGGCTATGAGCCAATGCTTTTTACATTCAGATTTCATCATCTTTTACGATGCTTTATTCGATGTGTTGTGTTGGTGTTGTTGGTTGAATTATTGAGAGTTTTCAGAGGCCGCTTGCCGCTGTTTGTGACTCCCCTTGGGGTCACAAGCTCGCAGATTTGAGCCACGCATAACATGATAAAAAAATCCTGCACTCGCCCTCATTTGCATCTAATGCCGCGAAAATTGAAAAAAATAACTTTCTATTGAAGAGTTTCAGTCGAGAAACCGGTCTAAAGAAAATAACACGATTCAAAATTTATTCTTGGTACCTCCGCGAATGCTCTGCCATGAACAACAGGCCAGTGCACAATCTGCATATATCCTCACCCGTAGTAAATGCAATTGAAGTGATCGAGCATCGTTTCATGTCAATAAATAATACTCACAGCTTCTCACAAAACTAAATATGATATAAAAAGTTCCTATCTGCCATGTGTGTAGCATGGTGTAAAATAGTTAATTCATGTTGTTGCGATAGTTTTGGAAAGGATCATGGCTTATTCCAATACGATAATTAATAGCGATGTTATCTATGTATTTTTGCACTTGAAGGAAAGCACGCAACGACAATCTCGATTATTATGCTATAATAACTCCTCAAATATTAACAATGAAAACAATGAATGATCTAAATTTTAAGAGAAAGTAATACTGAACATCGCTCGTCAGCGGTGGCTAATGTGATGACTAGGAATCACTATGAAGGTAAATCGAAAGAGCACAGAGCACCTGTTTGACACAGGTTCTAATCGGAATCTTGAAAAAATGGAAGTTAATGCATGGGCCAACGTACAAATTTTCCATTTGCTGACAAAAAATAGGTTTCTTTCGTTCTTGTTCTGGACGTTGGCATTCGAATTTTTTGTATGTAATCGTTCACAATTGCCGTAATTGTATTCTGTAATTTTACCGCGGAAACCTAATTGTTTTTAACATAACAGGGGCAAACGTAACGTAACAGGGGCACTCCGGTTAACTTTCAATGAATGGCCCAAGAAAAATCAGCAATAAACCTCCCTTTCAGCGATCGTAAAAGTAATGATAATGAATCACTTTGAAGAAAAATCAAAAGGAGTATAAAAACACATGTTTGGCTTAAGATATCATATAGAAGCTTAAGAAAGGTACAAGTAAATGCTTGGGCCAGCATCTGCATTTTCCACTTGTTGACAAAAAGTAGGTTTTCTTTGTTGTTGCTGATGTGCTGCCTGTTCCTTTTGCGGTATAATATCTCCATCGAACACCAGGGTCAAATGAAAGTGCTTTTCGAGGTGAAACATAAAGAAAACTTTGAATAGACCCATCGTCTGTTATGGTCATCATCTTCCACTTATTAGAATCATGGTCGACTATGTACCATCATTGAAAAAGCTCGTCCTTTCTTAGTGAAAACTTAAACCAAAGCGAATATCAGATGTTTTATCATTCTAATTCAGAGCTTAAAAGTTATTCTATGAAGATTAAAATGTTTACTCGTTCATTGACAAATGAAATGATGCATACAGCTGCGGTTGATTTAATATTCTAGTGCAAGTCTAAATTTGCTAACAGTTCTATGCCCAGTGAAGAATGTTGGTGATCGTCAACTTGACGCATTCCGCACTGGAGGGGCAAGCAGACTCTAGGTGAGGAGCGTCAGGTTCGTGGTAGAGCATCTCAATAGTGGGCACCTTCTGAAACAGCTGACGAGCTCCTGCGTCTGTGAGCTGATCCCTCGGGAGGACAAGTTCCCTCCTAGAATGATAATTAACCAATAGTAAAACGATATTTCTTTCATATTATGAACAAATACAGTCATAATTTCATTTTGCATAATGTTATGTACAACTGAATAGTCGTAAAATAGAGTATCTTTAGAATAGCTAATAGATAAAATAGAACTCGCTTATCATACATAAGGCATCGAATAAATGTAAAATAGACTAACTTTATAACGTACTATATGGTGAGTTTTATAAATAAAGCTATTTGTAGTAAAACCATGAAAAAGTGGCAGGAGGGAGAATAAAATGCTGTGCGGAAGCATAAGTTTGTTAATGCAATATAGAGAAACCCAGATTTTAAGGATGCAAAAGAATTCGATGGATACACGATTTCCCATGAGTATTTTCCCAATATTGCCTTGCTTCAGCGTCGCCAAACAATGTCACTACTGTAGGGATTGTCAATTACTAGCAATAATTCTATTCATCTGGGTGATACGGGCCAGAGAGCCATTCAGTTTTTTTCCGCTAGATCAAGCGAATTTTCAACGCTTTTAGCGGAAAGAAATTAGCTTAAGCGGGAAAAATGTATATAAAGTGCAAGTAAAATGATCTTTTGTAGCTACAAATTTGAATATTTAATGTATTTTCGCTTTAAAATACCCGACTTTAGCTTTAGAGTTATTGAAAGAGTTGGAAACAGTGAATTACGAACAACTCTGCATTAATTATGCAAAGTTGCACTTCTTGTCGTTTGTTTGTCTGCCGCAAATCTTATAATCGATAATCAACACACTTCTGCCTCTCCAATTGATTTGAAATTTTGCACACTTACGTAAAGTCGGAGACAATGCTTTAATCAATTGCCAGAATGATTTTAAAAATTAACTTTTTATACCATATATTAATAAAATAAAAAATATATATTTTTTAATATTTAAAAATTGAATAAGAAATTCATTGTACATGTGTAACATCGGAGACACTGGCCTCTTTAGAAGTGTTGTCTTTAAGAAGTAATTTCTAAATGCATATTATTAGGTTTTATGACAGCTATTTATGACGATACCGTCTCGCAGCAGCGTACGATTAACAGGTGGTAACATCCAAGCTCATGTCTAGAAAACTTTTGTTTTCGAATTGTGAGATAGTGATAATAATGACAGAATCACTTGCACTCCAGTAAGGTTGGCAAGATAGCTGCTAATCTTACTGTGCAACACATACACTGGATGGTAGTTGGAGTACTCTGCCAGGATGGATGACATCCAGTTCACGTCCTCGTCTCCGAGATCAGGGAAGTGCCAGCGGGTGACCACGAATTTACTTAGGATTTCACTGATTTCACTCGAAGTTCGTGTGACGCAGCACACATTTTCTGTTGGACAAATTGTATCAAAATTATAATTTTACGCACTTATTCATCTGTCATATTTGTAGGAACGTTTTAATGATTTTCGCCGGCTTAATATATCATTTCTCCCCCTTGTTAGAAAGCCTGCTATTTTCACTCGAATTCAGTTTAAGTTTACATTTCTCTTATATATGAAGGAAAGCTAACGTTCAGCTAACAAGAAAGATCTTGCACACTTTCTCTAAGTCGAATGTTTTTACTGGATGAAAAAGTCCCAACTCAAACAGATATTTCTTCATGTAACCGTTTACATAATCACGTTATGATATATTAGAGTTAACAATATTAAAATAATCAATTATAAACACCGAAATTTCGATTGCTAACAAAATTCTATTTATAACCCGCTCTTTTAACAATACTTATTATAGATCAATTCTAAGTTCGGCAGTAAAAATCTTTTTGTCTTGAGGCTTCAAATCGATCGAAATGTTATTTCATTCTACTACAGTGTTGGAGATCGCATATAAGGACAGGATTACGTGTAAAATTTCTTCTTCCACGAACGCTTCCGTTCATTTAAACACCGGATGGTGTCCATACATGGTTAATATATATATAGCCAATGAGTTGAGTAAAAAACATGAGGCTTCATAAGTACAGCGTTTCAGAAAGCCTAAAACATAAGAAAACAATATAGATCATATAATCATGGATCATTCACCAATGCGTCGTAGTGTCCAATCGTTGATGAGACGATAATCGGCATAGCAGTCGAAACGAAAGTTGTAATCGCAAGCTGTTCCAAATTCCTTCCAGTGTTCCCAGATTTGTTTGTGGGAGCCGTACACGGCAGTCAGCTTATTCCTGGAATCACATCGCGGATTGAATTGAATCTTTTAAAGGAAATTTTGGCAAGCAACTTAAAATCACTATTTCAAGAAATTTAAAGGAAAATATATAAAAGTTTCCCAAGTTAGAAAAAAAAATATGTAATTTTTCAAGTTTATGACCATATTTCATCATGACAGCCTATCATCTATTGTAGGCTATTTTTATTCGTGATTTAACTGCAGCAAACTAAGATGGACGATCTTAATATTGCTATTGAAATCTTCAATGTGAGGTAAATAAGTTAATACCATAAGGTTATCAATATGTTAATTGATACGTTATATGGACTTAATTCTACAGGATGACTTGAGCAAAAACATGAAAGGAAGATGTATTTTCACGAGTTAATTTGTTTGCACATGTCAGGAGCAAGTTTGAACTGCAGCGTAGGAGTAGTTCAATATGTTTCTGAAGCCAAAGCGACAATTCGCGAGAAAACGTGCCTCACCGAAAACTGCAGTAGCTCCAGAGATATGACAGTGTTCGATCCGACTGTCCTGCCAGCCCCCAGAAGGAGTCAAGGGGCAGCAGGCTGATGTTGCCGGTGTAGCGTGCGGCGAGGCGGGACAGCAGATCGTATAGCCCAGAGATGGGGCTGGTGTGGGTGGACACCACAACGAGGCGACTGGGCCGTCTTTTCTCTATTAGGCTGGCGACAGCTAGCTCGCTATCAGCACTGCTGGTGATAATCCAGCGTTCATCGGGCGGCATGAGCTTACGCGTTTGTGCCTGTGGAGCAGTGAATATTTTTTTAAAAAGACATTTTACGACTTTATGAATAATTATTTTATTTATTTCTTACATATTTACTGGACAGAGGAACATACCAATATTGTGGGCATTCCAGCGAGAGTAAAGTAAAGACGTTCCATCATCATGCTTTCGCTAAACTTATACTGACAGTGAATCAAGATTGGTTTACGATAAGGTATTTAATCTCTGATTTCTTTTAAGGTAATCAATATAATATAAGATCAATATAAGAATTAAGGTAATCAATATAAGATCACAATACTAATTTCTGTTTTTACTTTTCCTTCTCCTCCAGCAAATTAGAAACAATCTATTTAATTAATCGAATTCCAAATTTCCACCTCCGTGGCATGTAAGATTTTCCCCCCATTTTAGATGTAATATAAATTCTATTCCTTATGCGCATTTGCGTGCCATTCTAGATTATTTGATTCTTTCATTTGATTCATATCGTGCAAAATTTCTATTAATAACTAAGCCAGTTTCCATTTCACAGTATCAGTTTTCAGACAGAAAAGTCAAGGCACTCACCTCTAACGAAGAACATTTTTTGCTTACTGCATCCAACCTCTCTTTGATTTCTTGTATCTTGCTATTTTTTTCAGGTTCCAATTTTAGACGACTGAGCATTTCCCTTAGTTCTTGTCTATTGTTCTGATCCACTTCGCTCTTCTCATCACCCCAGACCTCGAGATATTGCTCTGTTGATGCTTTCTGGGCCAGCACGCATCCTTCCAGCCCTCAAAATCAGTCTTCAGGTAAAGCAATTCATCAGCCAAATTCAAAATTTCGTCTGATACGGAAACGAAACTATTCACGCTTTCAAGTTGACTCTTCATCGTGGACCGTATTTTTGCCCATGATTCCGAAACGTTTTTCCCTTCTTGAAGCAGGTCGTCTAAAAACTCAATGTTATGCGTAGCGTGCGTGCCCCTGGCGCACGTGAAGCACAAGAGTTCCATGCAGTCCACGCAGAGGAAATCGCGAACCTTCCCCTCGTGCGAGTACAGCGTTGCCGACTGTAAACGCATGGGATTTAGACGAGCCTTTACTTCAGAGGGAATCAATGCGTAGTTAACCATCATTTCATCAGTGCGCTGGGAAATTTCTTTCCTGCATTTTGGACAATTTTTATCTTCTGGCCCGGTTAATATGTTTGTAATGCACGAGAAGCAGAACGTGTGGCCGCACGAGAGACAAAGCGGCTTGTGGTTGCCAGTATCGAATGCCTCGCTACAAACTTCGCACTCCAATAATACAGTGGCCATTTTGAGTAGAGTTCCAACAAATTTGTTGGAAGTCCTAATTAATTTAATCAGTCCTAATATTGCAGTCCTAGCTGTTAAAGCTGTTTTTGTCTAGTCCGTGATTCTCCATCTGCAAGACATTCGAAAGTTTAGCAAAATAGGTTATTTCAACATTATGACAACATTCAATAAGTAAAGCCTTTTCACATTGCCTGTGGGTAATTTGAATGAATTTGATTGCATAATTAAATACTGCATTGACCGAATTTCTACCAAAAAGAAATAATATATAGAGATGCCTTGCATTTGCGAGTTTTTCCTACATTAATGGACCACAGTGACGCATACAAGTATAAGGATGCAGACAAGCAATTTTCATTAGCCGCAATCCGTGCATTCCGCTCTGGCTGACATGTATAACAATGTGATTGATTTGAGACATGTGATTGCAAACCATCAGTTCGAGGAATTCCAGTTTTAGAGGTGCATTGGATAATGATACATTCTCACCGAAAACCTTTCCTTCAAGGCAAATTACGAGTAAGTAATGTTGATTACGAGCTCATTTTGTTGGAACAACGTGTAATCGACTTTATTTCAATTTTAGTAGCCTTTTTGACTCTTCCTGGAACTAATCCCATTCAAGCTTTGGCTAACTGAATACTAACCTCACTCATCATTAGTTTAATAGGAGTAAAGGACACAGAGTAAAGCTGGGTTCATTGTTTAGAATTAATTTCCCATTAATACACCAAAAAGGCATTAAGACGATGAAACTAGACTACATGCATTCTAGAATATCTGACAGTATTTCGTAAGAATCGCGAGTGGAAACAAATATTTCACAGGTGATTTTTAACAATCGGACAAAAATGTGCCTAACTTCTTGATTTCGACTAAAAACTCAGGCAAAGGCCATACCAGTAGTAAAAATTTACTGATTTTACACTAAAAATGGTGTGCGCATTCGTGGTGGCAAGATAATTTTCAAGTTCATACGTCGACGTTGAAACTTTTTACTATAAACGTAATAATAAGGTATTTTCAACAATGATGTGCAATAAATAATTGGTCTTAGATACGTATTTTCATGAAATGTAAACAGTAGAGGCTTTATACTCATCCTGGCTATTTTCCAAATCCAAGTTAACATGGCTTTCATTCCTTAATGGATACAATTGTCTATATTACTGAAACTAAAATATTAAATTGTGCAATATTTTGATTTACTGATTCAACACACGACATAGTTGGTACGTGCATTCGTGCAATGATGTTAAATTACCGAGCATCAACAGGCTAACTTCACTTCGGTGATTAATTTAGACATGACGTGATGACGCAATTCACGATTCTAAAGGCATCACTCACGATATTGGAGATACTATGTAAATATTATGGAAACCATTTATATTATATATGGAGCTATTCATGCGTTAAACATACTTCATTGCCAGTCATTTATCTAGCACGATAACTGTTACAAAATCGCTACTTGCAAGTTTTCTCATTAAATATTAATTTTCTGATTCCACTCGTCGTTGCAACCACACCGTCTCTAAAATTTGAACGAGTTTGTAGTGGTGACGATATCTGAAAGTCATTTCGTCGTTTAGAAGTTTAGATTAGATTTCGATAAACGCAATACAAGTTCAAATGTGTATATTTAACTCACTATCACACATTTAACACAATATCACGCAAAAACCCCAATATCACGCAAAAAACACTATTCACTAACCCGAACACGCCGTCAACTGACGTTCTGGCGCGTCATTCCCATCTCGCCCACCGGGGTAAGACTGAAGGCTTTGAGCGGGTGGCAGCAGGGTTGCCAGATGTTTGCGAGAGAAAAATTCCAAATCCACTAATCATAAAAAGTAAGAACTGGCAGCAGTTCTAACTTTATTGAGATAAAAATTTTATTTTTTGGAGCAACAATATTAAATTCGCCAGAATTCACTAAAAAGAAGAGTGCGAAGAACTTCATCATGCATTTTTGTTGGCCAATGCTATTGAAAGGCCACATGTAATGTAATTTGGCCTGAATCGGCTCATCTGGCAACCCTGGCCATGAGCAGACCACTCGTCCGGTGCACCGCTCAGATGTGTTGTAGATGATCCTGAATTTCCAGCTTTCATCACAATTGCTGTAAACGGCCCAGGAATGAGCTAATTTTATTGGAATTTCAAATTTAGCTAATCTTGAAATCTTTCAATATAATTTCACTATGGACTTACGGGTTTGCTCTCAATAAAATATTATGGAAGAAATTGCTTCAATCATGCATCCAGACACTTGTGTGCTCATACAGAAGCTTCTGTGCGTTTGGCATCACAGCTGCCTTCGCCGCACTAGAAGGTATATATTACTGTGAAATAAATATTAATGCAAAATAGAAACAATATTTCGTTAGGGAAGTAAATTGACCGACATTGGGCTGCTTCATAAACAAACCGTCAAGAATCAAGGTTTTCAACTGATATATTTCAATGTTTATTCATCAACCAATGAGAAGTTGAGGTAAATGCATGTTAAATAGGTAACTAGAATTTCAAGCATGTGTTTGTTTTTACAAAGGATCATGTGTGCTAGTGGAAGTTTGAAATAATTGCAGGAAGAACGTGGTGCTGACATACAACTTTACGACACTTTACGTTCTCCACCGAACTGGAGAAAGCCGCTCTGACCCCAGGACAATTGTAAATCTAGGATTGTTGTCAGTTATTTTTTCTATTAAATGGAAAGTCAAACTTTATAAGGAATAAATTGGTTGCATGGTTACAAATTTATTCGAAGAGTGAAGAGACAGTTGATTTATTATCTAAAACATACAATAAACGATATAATAATTAGGGAACGTTGCTTGATTCAACATGTACTTCAACATTGAAACGTGGTGCTTCATGGATGTAAATCTTATATAAACTACTGAAACTTGTACTGTATACAAGTCAAATTTCCTGTACTCCGTTCATCTACAATAACACTAATTTTTCATCCCATAAAATTTAGATTGGAATTAAAAATAGAGGAACAATCATTGATAACGCGTGACAAAATGGTTGCATGTATGGGGAGCTGAAGCACCAATTCCTGAAATCATCATGAATCTTCCCATTAATTTATATTTCCAATTAGTTGCAAAAGAAAGGTTTCCCCCAGCCTTTCTGCATTCGTATAAATAGGAAACAAATATTTTAGTCATGAAAGTCACTGGCGCATTTTTTAGTCATGAAAGTCACTGGCGCATTTTTTAGTCATGAAAGTCACTGGCGCATTTTTTAGTAATTCAAGGCGCATTTTCATGCTGGCAGTATGAGCGCTGATTCTTCTCCGTGACTTCCTTGAAAAATTACATGAAGAATTTCATGTTTAAATGTTTAATTCCAAAATAGAGTCAGCTACAAACGCTGATAAGAAATATTATCATAAACAATTTACATTGCTGCTATTAGTGGACTTCTTTGGTGGATTTAAACACGAAGAATTTTATTTCCCATCCTTTATATTAAGATTGAATTTACTTACTGGCATGTCTGACTTGCGTCTGCTATGCAAGTAGCTGTTGTTGTTGGGAAAAGCTACATGCTTCATTAAGCTGAAATATCTGGACTTGTTTTGTTATGTCAAATTAGAGAACGAAAATTGTAGGTTGTTGAGAGGATAGCCCGAGAGTCAGTTGGAAGGAGACACGTGGCGCCGAATACAGTATATTCCTATAGCATCCACGCTAACTTGTACGTGTACAGTGTTCCGAATTACTTAATCGAGAAGCTATAATCCTGGATGAACTTTCGTTATGCCAATTTTACCCAATTTTATAAGTCTTGTTACCCTGGTTCGTGAATAAAATTGTTGAACTGAAACGCCTACAAGTGCCCTTTATAAAGCCAGAGTTATAGAATCAACAGTTAAACAACGCAATCAGCTTAGGAACGATCACAATAGGCCTATATGCGGTGCCTCTGCTGATACGGCAGCTGACAGGCCCAACAATGTTACTTGTGAGGTGACGTTGTCTTGAGGACCTTATCGGGAACACTCAGAGAAATCAACAGACTTTGTCCAAATAGTGATGCACTTCTTGCCTTGTATGGCCTTCTTGACTCAGTTTTCCCGCCACAAGGATGTATCAGTGCTACCTGCAGAAAGTGAGTTACTTTTCGTACAATGTGCTTCATTTGTATGAGTGAACTCTGATTTTTCAGCTTTGTAAGCGACAGCGCCCAATAAATGATAACATGGCGTCTAATAAAATGAGGGCTGTAGAATATATATGGCAATTTGCCCCACTACCTGTGAATATGTTGAATACGAATGTGTGTCAAAGTTGAAATACATTAATTACCAACAATGAAGATTTTAAATTGGCAATATAGAGTTTTCGATCACTAAAGTAACACGAACTTCTATTTTTCATTGTTTTATCAAGAAGACATTAATACAATGAAAATTTTTTTGGCAATGGAAGGAAGGATAAAATATAATGTACGTAATAAAAAGATGATGCAATGATTCGGTGGTTAGAAACTGCTGCTCAAGATATTTGTCACTGTAATTCCGTCTCTGCATTACTTATTAGGATGGGAATACTTGTGACAAACTCGGGTCTTGAGTCTTGACTCAACGTCTTAACACCCGACCGGTACAACAGAAGTATTATAATAATTAAATCTTATTATTTATTGAATTATAATATGTTGATAACAAATATTATGGTATTTTATGTATATTTCTTATTATATGATATTATTGATACAACAAGAATTTATAATATAGAATTATTGAGCACAACAAGAATACGAGGCAACGACAAGTGAACTAATCAATAACTTTTGAATATTTGTACACTTGATTTGATATTACTAATTTTTTCACTCCGATATTAAGGACACCCTTAACTGCTTTAAACTTTCCATAAAATGACACATATGCACATGTCTGCTACCTACAAGCACCACAATGAACAACTGCAGCAGCGCTATCAGGCCGCTGAGATCTAATCATCAGTAACATCTGGTACCGGAACCAGGCCGCCTTGCTCGGGGTTTAGTCACGCGTTTCTTCTGGTAACAGCCTACAGGTTCAGGTAGCCATTCTCTAAGTAGGCTGGGCTGGAACCCTAACCTCAATGCCACTCCAGTCGCAGACCTTCTTTAGATAAGATTAATTTCATTAAAAAACGAATTCACAAGTTTTTCAACAATTCACACACTAAATATATGCATTTGTTTCTATTACACTCACTAATGGTTAGCATAAAGCACC